AAAGACTCCAGGACCAGAGGAAGTGGTGTGTGTTGGGTGAGGCAGTGGTGTGTGTTGGGTGAGGCAGTGGTGTGTGTTGGGTGAGGCAGTGGTGTGTGTTGGGTGAGGCAGTGGTGTGTGTTGGGTGAGGCAGTGGTGTGTGTTGGGTGAGGCAGTGGTGTGTGTTGGGTGAGGCAGTGGTGTGGGGAGACATATGGTTTTGCACTATTGTTACATTCTACATTAGAAACAAAAATTGAAACAATTTACCCAATGCAGTTGCTAATATAATAAGAAAGTGACTATTTTATATCTACAAAATATCTAATCACCAAAAGATAGCAAACATGCATTAATTCGGAAAAGGGAAGTTCCTGTGTACAGTACAGTTTTTTTTTTTAAATTCTATACATGTTGCATATAGGAAATGCATAACTAAGAGTGTAACAGGCCAATGATTAACTTTAACAGTATTAAACAAAACCATACACACCTGAGTATTTATTAATTGAACTACCCTTCATAACTGACATGTTCTTGAATTTAACTGAAATGTACTGATACTGTAATAAATTTTTATTGTGGCTCAATCAATATGAACCAATCAACATCAATCAGTATATATCAATGTATATATCTGTTTCCATATATACCAACCTCTACCCATTCCCAAGTTAATGTACTGGACAAGTGCTCTCTCAAAATTTAAACACCGAATATCATTATATTTCAAAATATATCACTTAATTTTGTGGTTTTATTTATATGCTGCTGTAAGATTGTCCTAGAAGCTGCAGGGAGGTAAGGTTTAAGATGAGGAGAAAGCACTAACAGATTATAACTACTGTGTATACCACTTAGAAGCAACATGAGAAAGATTTAGAATAGGACAGAGGATAAGAATGGTGCCAGACCACTCAGCATAGTGCTTTCTCCTCAATTATTTACCTCTGTTGCTCATAGGACAATCTCTAAAATGCAACATCAAATGCCTGTTTAATTCACGTAGCAATTTTTTTTTAACATACACCATTTCAAAGCTGGAATAATGGGTAATTTATCCTATTTATCTGTTGACTGAATGTCAAAACGAACAAAAATATTTAAAGAGAACGGTTACTGTGACTTTGGTTGGACATAAAACTCAAAGGAATGTGTGAAAATGCCCCGGCAACATTTATGATCAACTCCCTTGACCTATAACAATAGAGTTCATATTTTACTGTAGAAGAAAAATCTTTGCGTGTTTGCATTGGCACATTAATCGTGTTACTTTATTGACTAGTCAATTACAACTGCCACCAAAAAAACATTTTTGGCACACTTAACTTTACCTTATTGTATTCTTAATTGTGAAATAAATCAGTAAGTAATGAACTTTTTCAAATTTAATACAAAAGCCAATTAAATAGGTTAATTTAAAGAGTTACTTCTAGTAAACATGTTTCTACCTTCATAATCATATTGCTGCAAAGTATTTTAAACAATTAACACTGCATTTACAACAAAATAAGGCAAACATTTGAAAAATAAGGTTACCAAGAAAGTATGATTGATCTACAACAAGTAAAGCTATCAGTTTACTGGCAAGGTCTTGGAATAGCTTCAACGCACCAAAGGGGCATCACGAACACGCATTACAGCTCCCAAATTATCCTCATCCATGATTAAACAATTAATTGTTTTGTGTCCACATTTCTTTAGACCAGTACAGACCTCTGTGCAATTTACTACTGTATGTACTCCTGAGGCTATTGAGTGTTGACTTTCAATTTCAAATTTTGTTATTTTTAGGGGACTGGGGTAGTGGATGTTAGCAGAACGACAAGGCTGTGGATGTTAGTAGGGGAACTAGGGTAGTGGATGTTAGTAGAAGGACGAGGGTTATGGATGTTAGTAGTAGGACAAGGGTTGTGGATGTTAGTAGTAGGACGAGGGTTGTGGATGTTGGTAGAGAAGGGGGAGGGGGGATTGGGGTTGTAAACATTGAGGGGGCAACATGGGGCAGGAATGGTGTGAGGGGGACATGGGGCACAAATGTTGAGAGGACGTGGGGTGTGAATGTTGAGGGGACAAGGGACACGAATGTTGTGAGGGGATTTGGGACATGGGTGAAGGAAAAATATAGAAAATATTACTTTTTTCTTTTTTAGAAACATAGGTAGATTCTGGGAAAAATATTAACAAAATCTAGCTGCTATACATTTGTTTTGAGTGTTTACATAAATATGTGCTGAGGTAACTCGGTGAAACCCCACGAGCATGTTCCCAACTGAACATTTTTGCATTAAACAAATGCATTTCACACCACTCCAAGTCATTTTATTGTCCACTAGTTCCACAAGTTCAATCAAGAAGATCCTATTATTAAAAATTATTTATCACTAGCAACAAAGTAAATATGAATATCATACCTGGCAGCCGTCAGGCTGTGACAGGGGCGAGGCAGGCACAGGTGACGTGTCGCCCTGATGTATGTTTGATGGGCATTGATGGCACCCAAGTTTATCCAATCAAGGTCACTGTCCCCAACTCAGAGAACACAAGCATGGTCTGCACACTCCATGAAAACCTCAGGAGCACTTTACAAGAGCACTTCACAGTGGAAGGGTTAATTGACCAAAGTTCTAAACAGTAAAGTTATAGATGCTAATGGCTTCAGGCATTTGAGTATATGATAAATTTGTAGAAAACTAAAGCAAGATGTAGTTAAATAGATACTGCAACATCCCACACGACTTGCAACAGTGCCAGACTAATAATCTCGGAGGAAAAAAGGTACGCAAGAAAAATGTCTCACTCTAGCTGTCATCCACATTTGTCACTCCACAAGGGTCATTTATTACGCCATCACTTGGTAAACAGTCACCCAACCACTTGAGCTGGACGGTAGAGCGACGGTCTCGCTTCATGCAGGTCGGTGTTCAATCCCCGACCGTCCAAGTGGTTGGGCACCATTCCTTTTCCCCGTCCCATCCCAAATCCTTATCCTGATCCCAAGTGCTAAATAGTCATAATGGCTTGGCACAGTCCCCTGATAGTTCCCTTCCCTTGTTAAACAGTCCTGGGCTGAACTATGCTACAGATTAGCTTGATGCAACATAAGCAACAACCAAACTTAAACTTTCCTAGGCCTAGTATAGTACATAATTATACTAAATTAGGCCTAAAATGACATATTATTCATTTGATTACAGTACTTATTTAGGTCCTCAACAGGAGGCCTGGCGGAGAACCGGGCCACGGGGACGCTGAGTCCCGAAATCATCGCAAGGTAGGTTAGGTTGTACAGTTAAGATTTCGATTTGTTTGACCTTTAGAGTACTGTATTCCAATAGTATAAAAGAAGAACTTTGGGTACAACAGTTAATATTTTATGGTCAATCAATACCCAGTGGGGACAATATCCAAAAGCAACGCCAATTTAATGCTGGATCAGTGTCACCAACATTTATTCAACACCATACCAACGCTCCTCTTGGATAGGGTACCCATTTGGTAGCTGCCTTAAGTACTATAATTTTTGGAGGATGAGTTCTATTTCTTCTGCACTCAATAAGATTAATCTTACAAAACATGAACTGTGTGTGCACATCGGTCCTCTGTTTGTATGTTTGACCAATACTGTAGTTGCTAAAAGTACTTTCATTTTTGGATGACCGGTTGCTATTGCTACGTCTGTTACTATTAATCCAACTACTACCGCACTGTCCTCCTCCTCCTTAATTTTTCTTTATACCATGAGGGAAGTTATTGGTGTCATGTCTCTCAGTACCCTAAATCAAACTCATCTTAGTGAAGTTCTACAGGAACTTCAGAGACTGGGAGTCAAAGACTGGGCCGTGAGGACGTTCATCCTCGGAGCCAGTGTAAGGCAACTAGCACAATATCCAAGAGCGACATTAATTCTATGTTGAATCAACGTAATCAAGGTTCAACTAACGTTACTCTTGGGTATTATACTCATTGGGTAAAGGCTAATCCTTGTGTGGTGTTTCTCTTCACTAAATTGATTCTTTGCACTCAAAAATAAAACAAATAAAAACACCTATATGACATTTAACATCAACCGGTGTATTATGCCACAGAGGTATAAAAAAAAAAAAAAAAAAAAAAGTTGTCTCCTTTGGTGCTCATTGAAAAGCGTTATAAATGTATACTGCAAAAAAATTATTTGCCATAGTTCCTGGCAATATGCAATTTTTTTCAATTAATAAAAGTAATTATCAAAAAAAAGGGAGATTATGAAGTCAATCGAAATGTATGGAACTATTGTTCCATACATTATCATCAATTAGATTTCAATAGCTCAAGTTGCAAAGTTTTCAAAGATAAGATCTTGTCAAAACTGAAGGTAATACAATGTCTCAGTGAACCATTGTTTGTCTACCATCTTGCAGCAGCCACCTAGGAAATATATTCCACTCTTGGGAGGTATCTTTATGTCAAATATTATAATGAAATGTGAGAATTCCAAAAGAGGGAACTCCACTGAATTTCTAAATAAATAATGAATATTTATAGACGTCATGGTTGAAGGTAATACTGTAGAAGCTCACTAATCTGGGACCCACCAATCCAGAAAACGCCCTAATCCGGCAAAAATCTCGACCGGATAAAGTTATCTCCCTATCTGGCCAAAATGTTCATAGAAGCCAGACAAGTGTATATTTGGCCGGATCAGCGTATACTGTAAGAGTTGAAATCTAAGCCGGTTAACTCGCTACCGATGTTGCCAAATTCGGACAGTCAGCTGGACAAGCGGAGATTATTCCTGATCAGAAAGGCAGGCAAAGGGCCGTACCATATTAACCCAGTACAGCTGTGGCTCGAGGTGCGTGGTGTAGGAGGGGGTTATCTTGGGGTTATCTTGGGCTGATTTCGGGGCTTTATATAGTGTCCCCGCGGCCCGGTCCTCGACCAGGCCTCCACCCCCAGGAAGCAGCCCGTGACAGCTGACTAACACCCAGGTACCTATTGTACTGCTAGGTAACAGGGGCATAGGGTGAAAGAAACTCTGCCCAATTTTCTCGCCAGCGCCTGGGATCGAACCCAGGACCACAGGATCACAAGTCCAGCGTGCTGTCCGCTCGGCCGACCGGCTCCCCATGTCGTCGACTCCGGGGGTGGGGTGGGTGGTGTCAGGAAAGAATAACGTTGGGAGGGACTGCCTGGGGAATAAAGGGCATGTGGAGGAGCTGATACAGTACAGTAATTATCAATAATTTTAGAACAATTCATCACAGTCAAAAACAAAAGAAATACAGTATTATTTATTACTGTATTATAACAAATATACAAGTTTCCTAAAAACAATTTGCACAGTTTGAATTTTGCTAAAAAAATATTGGGAGTTTTTTCCCGTCTAGTGGCCTACATAACGTGCCTGCCTGCCCCAAGTGGACCTGTCCAGGCCTGGTCAAACCAAATAGCCCATGTGCTTCCGACCCTCGCGTTATACCATAGTGCAGCGCCATTAGTGAAATATTTTTAAAATAACTTTGTTGTTTTTCTAGTAACTTTGAACATTTCCAAGGCCAAGGCTTAAAGGCCAAGTGCCTTCAACAACCGAGGCTTCAGCAGCTGGCAGTCAAAATTGACCTTGCCTCATGAACTGTACAGTAATTTGAAGTGTTAATTTTAGTGTTGTGTTAGAATAGATTACATATATTGTCAAGAATTCTCAATTCTCACTTTCGCTTTCTCGGCGTGCACACCCCAGCCTACCCCAAGGTGTGCCGAGCATTTCGCGTGAGCCACACTAACTCATTTCCTTGTGACTCCTTTCGCAGGGAGTCACACTAAAATGTGTGTACTCTCTTCAGTTTTCTCAACTCAGTTTTTGTTGTACGTCATTCATTTAGGGCATCAAATCATTTGCAATTGAATTCCCTACAGGGGTATATGCATATAAGGTTCAAAAGCCAGGTGTGCCACCCGCACCAAACCCAAAAATTGGGCGAGTGTTACCCGTGAGCGTGCAACAGCAATAAAATGTATATCCTCTTTTCAGTTTTCTCACCTCCATTCTCGTGCTACGTTGTTCATTTTAATATAAATTTGTTCGCAATAGAATTCCCTACAGGGATATATGCATATAAAGTCCAAAACACCTTAAGTCGGCCAAGCGTTACCCGTGAGCATGTACCCATTGGTACACCCACAGCACCTAAACCCAATTGTGTATACTCTTTTCAGTTTTGATAACATCATTTTTCGTGTTATGTCGTTCAATGGGAAGATGTTGGCGCACATTTTAAATCCTTTCCCATAATGATCGGATAAAAAATATATAGAATTTTAACAAATATTTTAAATTTTGATGCAACATGTGTCTCCAGCAGACATCCATCTATTTATTGACGCACACTGCGTCACCGCCGGACGAAAGTGTTAACTTCAAGATGTGTAGCATCAATCAAGATGACGAACTACAACAAGGTAAGTTGAAGTTTCTGGCTGAATATTTTATAATTACATCTGGCAATTCATATTATGTTTGTGGTATAAAAATTGTTGGACATGTTTACTTTTGGACTTCCGCAGTGAAAAAGTACATTAATCCGGAAAACATGCTAATCTGCCAAGAGGTCCTTCCCATATAGTCCGGATTAGCGAGCTTCTACAGATAATGATGTCGACTCGTAAGACGAGATATTAAAAGTATTTTACAGCCTAAACCTCCGAGAATATATTTATTAATTTATTTTGACAAATGATAATATTATATATCTTGTTGCAATAAAACCTAGCCATAAAACCTAGCCATGAAACATTTTTAATCATCATATCATTTGACAAAATAATTGTAAAATAAAGCTTAAAAAATACACTTTGGTACACGTTTCTTAAAGTGAAAATAAAATGCCTGAATACGTCAACATTGCACTCATAGTCAGCAGCTGGTATGGTCTATACATTATTTCATGTGGAAAAATTTGTCAATTTCTATTTTTTAGATACTTTCTCAACCGTGAAAGAGTTCACAGTGCAACTGGACAGAGTGGGACAACTGGGAATGGCTTTCTCAGTTTTCTCACGTGCACCCAGTAAGTAACTGGAGACCCGGATCTAGTACTACTGGGACAGCAAGTCAAGGAAAACATGGCATTGAATAACCTAACCAGTTCTAGTACCTGATCTAAAACCAAAATCCCAATATAACAATCAGAGCTACACACAATCGACTTGAGAATGGTCCAGGACGGACCGAAACGTCGTCGTCCCTTCACCTTCTAGTGTGTGGTCTGGTCAACATACTTTAGCCACGTTATTGTGACTCGTCGCCTGCATAGAGCTACAGACTGAGGACTACTCTTAAGCATCTCGCCTTGTGTAATGAAGAGCAACACAAGTTAACCTTAATGAAAAATATGGCACCTTACAATTGGCATGACGACGATGGTTTGCTTGTGCCCCGATGGTTGGTAATGCTAGAGATACCTCAGTCAATGAGTTTGACAACACTGAAGAGCTGGAAACAAGCACTTGGTTTAAAACATGGGATAACTGGCACATATTAGCAAACTTGAAATGAAATTTATATAAAATTGACATTGCAGTATCATTACTATTTCTGGAATGTTGCACAGAAAACATACATAACTGGGAATTGTACTCTTGCATAAAATTATAGGAAGCTAATCTTTTCATGCATTACACACACCTCATATTATATATATATAAATATATATATAAATTATATAAATATATATAAATTATATAAATATTTATAAATTATATAAATATATATAAATTATATAAATATATATATATATATAAAAAATGGAATTAGTGAAATATTACTACAGAATCATTACATGCTTTACATTGTTTCTCCAGATGCAAAATACTGTAATAATATTTTAATAGTTATGACATTGAGACGGCTTTCCTTCATCAAAAATGTGCCACATACAAGCACAGGTTGCCACGTGTGTGTATCAAGTGTCCCCTTGCCATCAAACACAGCAAGATTAACATGGGTTTAGCAAGTAATTTCTATTCCTGTATAGGAATACTCAGGAAGACATTTTCTCTTTAAAAAAAAACTATCAAATGGCAATTCATGACTATATAATCACAGACAGAGCATGGAAATGGTGTACTAATGCCCTACAGGACAGGGATAAGTTATTACGTACCTGTCAAAAATATTATTGTTGACCTATCAAGTGGATATATATATAAAAACATGTTTTTCAGTTAAAAGAAATTAATCTGTACAAAGGCCAATAAAGCTTACGCCCACACACGGCAAATAGCGATGAGAAGTAAAATCGGTATTAAGACACATGAGTAGACTTGACTATTTGACTGATACGACCTATGAGGCATTCACCACTCTGAGAGCCTCCAACACTATACAGTGTGAGATGCAACCCATCCACATGGTACCACTCGGAGTACCTCTTACACTATATACAAACAGATTGTGATACAATCCATGAGGAAAGTACCAGAGTACCTCATACACTATACCAACAGACTGTGATGCAACCTGGTACCACTGGAGAGTACCTCGTACACTATACCAACAGACTGTGATGCAACCTGGTACCACTTGAGAATGCCTCATACATGTACAACTACATAATGATGCCAATACCCATGTCACCATAAAAACTTTGTTTATTTTACCTTGAATTATCACAGTGTGTCACAATTAAAACAAGTCTCAAAATAACAAATGTGATGTAGTGTCAAGATAAAAAATAAGTGAACGTGTAAAGAAACAATATAGGAACGAGCATTTCTTCTTGTATATATGACACACTTCCCAAACACATGGAAATACAATATGGCACATTTGCTAGTAGTATAGTATAATTTAAAATATTATCAATGAAAATGTACTAAAGTAGAATCTTTCTATTAAGTAGAAATACCATTCAATTAGTCACCTTTCATCATTCTTCCTGAATTACTGAAATAATAAATGTAAAATAATACAAATTAAACATCCAATTTGATCACGTACCAACCCTACCTGACCTCCGAGCCTACTTGTACTATTGTGCAGTGATGCTTGGCTATTAGTGATATTGCACACACACACACACACACGGTTTCATCTTCAACAACCGTTACGTTATTAAATAAGAGAGGCATTGGCTTTAGCACAAGTGCAATTTTGTGGCTTCAAAGTAAGGTCTTAAATTTGGAGCAAATGGCAGCTGCTGAAACAGTAAATAGTGTAAAATCTATTTTAGCATTATTAAAGACCTGTCAACCTTATTGTGAGTTATATATGGAACTGGAAAAGACTACCAAGAACAATTCTTAAATAGGTTTCTGGCTAACACACTGACACTACCATCCACAATTCTCAGTCTTCTTTACTTTAGTTTCATCTTTAGCCTATACTTCTATCCACATCTGTCTCTTCACTTCCCTTCATCCTCCTATAATAAGTATTCCTCCTTGAAAGAGGTGAAAAATTATACAAAGGCTGCCCAAGGATCACAGAAGTTGTGACTTGATAGGAATTTTGTTCAATCCTCACCAAGTAGAAATAACTAGATGGCACTACAATACTATGTACACTGCTCTCATCACACTGCATAAAACTGAAAGCTTGAGCATGGTGATTATAATATATTCCCCATATTGTTGCTCACTTCAACAAATGGCTTATAATTTCCACTTTATGTTTTAGAAAGAAGCAGTTAAGATTTAACAAACTTTCACAGCACAAAAATAATAAAATAGCAAAGAAATTTAATACATTTCCCAATTTTAAAGTGGATAAATTTTCAAAAACTGCAGAATTAACCTTTATGAAATTGGTGGAAACTATTGAATTACCCTCTTGTGTGCCTGGAATGTATACTGGGCTTATGCCCCCCTGAGAGCATGTTGGCTCAAGTGGAGAACTGCTACAACCTTTCATCACTACCATCATCAAAAGCTGTCCATGAGTTAGATTGTGACAAGAGTGCTGCTTGCTGCTGCTCATGATGCAGAATGGCTTGCCTTAATGCTGTCAGAGGAACTGTTGTGTCCTGACTTTGGCCCTCCACTGGCATATCTAGCAGTGTGTGTCGCCCTACCACACCCTCTTGGCTAATGATGTGTGAAGCAGGGGAGAATCTAACCCGTCCTCCTCCAGTCGAGTTGCCCCCAGAGCCACCAGAGTGCATATCAGGGGCACTGACATAGCTGCTATCCTCACTGGTCATGCTATCTGGTGGGGTAGGATTAGTTGGAGTACCCCCTCCAGATCCCCCAGACCCACTACGATCACTGCGAGGTTTAGGAGATGACCGGCCATAGCTGTAATTGTACTTCCTGAGAGAAGAACGATGGTGACGAGGAAGATCCAAAGACCCCGGGCGGTCAACGCGGTCCAATTCGTGTGAATTCTGACGAGACACTCTTGGAGGTGGGGCTGGTCCTCCGTGAGGGTCAAAATGGCCACTGCGATGAGTTGGAGTAGAATAAGAACTATCGCCTTCATCTTCTAACCTGAATGAAGGATTTACATTTGAAGAAGATGTAGATGCATTTGACACTGATGATGGAGTGCGTCGATGTTGGAAATTGACTCTAGATGGAGTACGGGGATTGGTTGATGTTGAAGAGGATGACACAGATGGCGATTGATTATCATAGGCATGGTAACTTCCTTCACTACTCGCTGCCGCTGCTGCTGCATGTCTCATTACGTACTGTGGATATACTCGTTGCTCATAATGAACACTGGCTAGGTATTCAGCAGGTGCACCGTGGTACCCTCGATCACTATAATAAAAACCAATTGAGTCAGAGCGATGATCCGGTGTGTACTGCTGATACGTCTCTGCACGATACATTTCCGCATCAGGTTTTGGTGAAGGAGGAGGTTGGTGAGTAGAAGATGCTTTTGAGGAGTGGTCTCCACGCTCACCCCACACCACCATCTGTTGCTCACTTCGGTAATCTGGACGCAGGTAGTCAGCTGGTCCAGGAATGTAGATAGCACGCTGCCCACCACCACCATAACTTGCTACCTGCTAGGAAGATTTGTATAAATGCTTGGGGTTCTTTGGGTTTGTATAAATAATTAACTAAATGTGAATACAAAATTTTAGCTTTTTATAAAATCTAGAAAATCTACAGACCTGGCCATGGGGAAATTGAACCTTGGAATTACAGCAAGGTAAGGTAACCACTTATGAACAGATATTTATGTAGTCTTGTGCAAGACCATACAACAAGGTAATAATGTAGTTAATCTAAAAAATGATAAAACCTTTTATGATCCACCATCTAGAAACCATGTTTCCATACAACTCACACGAGGTACCACCCCTGGGTGAATGGACCCAAAATATAATCCCAAGCAAGGTGGGGATGTAAAGATGTTTCCAATGGAAGAAAAGAGATGCCATCCTGACAGCCCATATCATACTAAGCCAGGAAAAAATCTGCGATGGAACCAAAAGGGACTTCTGCCAGTTGATGCAAAATCCAAAAACTAATCTGTAAACCACAGGTTGATAATCACACATGCACAAAATAAAAATTGCTCAAGATTAAGAGTTCCTAATACTATTTCTACAATGACAAAAGAAATTAAAAGCAAAACATACCTCACTATCATTACTTGCTGAAGATGATTTTCTCCGTGGGGTCTGCTGAGTTGGGGGCAGTGCAGCAGGGCCAGCAAAGTGTTGGGGAGAATCCGTGAAACGAATGGGTTTAGGTTCTAAGACTAATGCAGGACGTGAGTGTCGTGAAGGGCCATGATATGTGTTGTGAGCATAACCAGATGGACTCGAAAACTCGTATTCACCCATGCCCAGCCATCTCTGGTACTCGGAATCTTCATCCTCGGGTCTGTAGACAAAATATGTTTGATTCAGTGTGAGTTTATTCCTGTTGTTGGGAACAAGAAGCCTGTACATATATATTTTAGGCTTGTATCCAGGTCACCTTTAGGTTGAACAACGGCCCTTTCCATGATGCAACCTCCACAACAATTGCCTACCAGGTACCGATTAGCTGCTAGGCGAACACACACATTAGGCAAAAGGAAACTTGCCAAACCATTTCTGTCAAGCATGGAAATCAAACCCGGGCATCCCGATTGTGAGTCGAGAATGAGGAAAACTGTATCATGGGGGACTAAGTCATGATCATGTGGTCCCACATTCCCAGTGTTCACTTGTATCCCTCACAATACCTCATGTTCACCGACGTTCTTTCGTATTTAATAATGGGATGTTCACCTGCAACATTACATGTTACTCAGTTCCACTTCAGGTTCCTTAGCATTCTTTTATGTTTAGCAGTGGTCTGCTAAGGTCTTCATAGACCAGCATTACCTCACATTCACCAGCGTTGCCTCACATTCACTAGTGTTCCCTCATATTTCCCTGTGTTACCCAACATTTCATCATGTTCTCTAGTAATCTCTCATGTTCATCATTGTTCCCTCATCTTCAACAATATTCCCAAATATTCTAGTTCTTTTGTGTTCCTCAGAGTTATATCATGCCCCCCCCCCTCAGTATTTCCTCATATTCCTGTCTTGCCTCATGTTTCTCAGTATTCCCTCATATTCCTGTGTTGCCTAATGTTTCTCAGTATTCCCTCATATTCCTGTCTTGCCTCATGTTTCTCAGTATTCCCTCATATTCCTGTGTTGCCTAATGTTTCTCAGTATTCCCTCATATTCCTGTGTTGCCTCATGTTTCTCAGTATTCCCTCATATTCCTGTGTTGCCTAATGTTTCTCAGTATTCCCTCATATTCCTGTGTTGCCTAATGTTTCTCAGTATTCCCTCATATTCCTGTGTTGCCTAATGTTTCTCAGTATTCCCTCATATTCCTGTGTTGCCTAATGTTTCTCAGTATTCCCTCATATTCCTGTGTTGCCTAATGTTTCTCAGTATTCCCTCATAATTTCTGTTTTGTCATGTGTTTATATCATGCTCCTTAGCATTCTCTGACATTCATCAGCATTTTGTCATGTTCATCAGTGCACCTTCATACCATTACAAATTATTACAATGATAACGCACTTGACTGGAAGTAATTTGGGATGAATGGCCGTGACGTTGGAGAGTCGGACATCGTATCCTGCAGCCACACTGGCTAGAATAGCAGCAATGTTATATACAAGTAGTTCTAGTGGGGAGAACTTTGGTTGTAAGCCCTTAGTCTCCGGTGTGGTGCCATTGTAGAGAGTTGGCACTGGTAATGGTCGCAGGGGCACTGGCTTGGCACTCCACCCTCCATCCTCACCGCTGCAGTCTGCGGATCAATTTTTATGGTCAATATAATTTTATAACAAGTCATATAGCTATAAGCATTTTATGGTTTTTGAGGAAAGTAAATATGCCCAACATTCAGTATATGTTTTATCTTTTATTAGAGTTTATGTAAAATAAATTTAAATTTGCAAATATCTTTCCACATAGAAAGCGTTCATCATTTCCTCTCTTCTATCCTGTTAAGGATGATTTTCACCTACAATGTACTAGAAAAGGCCATAGCTTTACACCAATTGACTTTGGTTAATTTGCCTCAACAATACATACAATCAACTGAATGTGTACAGTATATTCAAATACTTTATTACTGTAATAAATTAAAGATCTTAACATGCTAAAATATTAAATTAAATTCAGTAATTTCTGAAGTATAATGTACAGTAAGAATATAACACTGCATTGGTACTTGCCAGTAATTACCTCTAAAGCTAACAACACATTAACCATTAACTTGTTCAACGACACGGGGGAAAAGCTACATAACTATGTGAATATCAAGAACAAAATCTAAATCTAAAAGATCCTTACCTAGAAACAATCTACTAGGGATTCTACCTGTTGTCGGGTGAGTTGAGTGTGGGCATCACGACTAAAACATGGAAGACATCAAGTAGTACATGATGACAACAATGATATTACCACTCACTCTGGGCGCATCCGATCCCACGATCGTCGTCGCCCCTAAATCAACACAACAACCACTCACTCAACACTCTCTTACTTCTAGATAAAAAATACTATGGCTTCTCTAAAAATAAGGATAAACAATTAGCACATTTAAAATATCTAGTTGGCCTTAACATATGTATTTTACTTCTCTCCTACAACATTAGTTCAGCATTCTGCAGTAACAAACAACATTTTAAACTATAATGTTTCTACAAGCACAACACAAAATGAATGTACCCAATTTCCAGACAAACCTACACACAGAACTGACTCATAAACGAGCAATATAAATCAGTGAATGATCAAGGAGTTAGGACATCTATGGGAGCTAAACACTAATTATCACACACAAACACTAGAGATCCCTCTCTCTCTACCATTGTTGTCCAAGTACGCTCTCCACTCATCAAGGGTGCACTCTGAAATTATATAACACGACATGTACAGGTGTGACACAAGATGACTTTCAAGACATCTGATGTGATATCATAAAAAGAATGAGGATTTCCAATAGAATAATCTGATGTTAATTAACTAAATTATAACTGGATATTTAAAAATAATCCTACAAAATGTCTATACAGTACTGTACTATAATCCCAACAATTAACTTTTAAAATTTACTTTGGTCAAAATACCAAAGCAAGAAATGCTGTTTATCCAGCTTCACATTATAATACTGTAAAGTATTGTACATCAGCCCCAGCTCATGTTGAGGAAGGCAAGGTGAACCAAGGCTTCCTCAATGGATACTTTGATCCGTATGTTGATTCAACAGCAAAATTTCCATCCACATTCATTCTACTTTCTAGGTCAGTTCTTCACGACACACACACACACACACACACACTAGGGGGCTGATGGTTGAGTGGACAGCACTCGCGATTTGTAATCCTAGGGTCTGGGGATCTATCTCCGGCGTTGGCAGAAACAAATGGGCAGAATTTCGTTCACCCTGATGCTCCTATTCATCTAATAGTAAATAGGTATCTGGAAGTTAGACAACTGCTACGGGCTGCTTCCTGGAGGGTGGGAGAGTGTTAATTGACAGTTGAGAGGCAGGCCAAAAGAGCCAGAGCTCAACCCCCACAAGCACAACTAAGTGAATACATCCATAGGATGCTGTCCGTGGCAGCTGTTTAATTCCCAGGTACCTATTTATTACTAGGCATTAGATGAAAAATGAGACGAGATGAAAAACTCGGCCCAATTATTTCTGCCTCAACTGGAAATTGAGGCTAGGCCCATTGTACTATGAACCTAAGGTCCTGTCCAATCAAGTTGCATGTGTGTGTGTGTAATTACCAAAGTGTAGTTACAGGATGAGAGCTACGCTTGTGGTGTCTCATCACCCCAGCACTGTCATATATGCTTTGAAACTACTGACGGTTTTGGCCTCCACCACCTTCTCACCTAACTTGTTCCAACCATCTACTACTCTGTTTACAACAGTGAATTTTCTTATATTTCTCCGGCAGCTTTGTTTCGTTAGTTTAAATCTATGAACTCTTGTTCTTGAAGTTCCGGGTCTCGGGAATTCTTCCCTATCAATTTTATTGAGTCCTGTTACTATTTTGTATGTAGTGATCATATCACATCTTTTTCTTCTACCTTCTAGTTTTTGTATGTTTAATGCCTCTAACCTCTCCTTGTAGCTCTTGTCCTTCAGTTCTGGGAGCCACTTAGTGGCATGTCTTTGCACCTTTTCCAGCTTGTTGATGTGCTCCTTAAGATATGGACACCATACAACCGCTGCATATTCCAGCTTTGGTCTCATGAAAGTCGTGAACAATTTCTTTAGTATTTCTCCATCCATGTATTTCAAAGTAATTCTGAAGTTAGGAAGTGTAGCATAGGCTCCTCGTGCAATGTTCTTAATGTGGTTCTCAGGTGGTAGTTTTCTATCTAGAACCACCCTTAGATCCCTTTCTTTGTCAGAATTCTTTAAAGATTTCTCACATAATTTATAGGTTGTGTGGGTCTATGTTCTCCAATTCCACATTCCATAACATGGCATTTATTCACATTAAATTCCATTTGCCAAGTGGTGCTCCATATACTTATTTTGTCCAGGTCTTCTTGAAGGGCATGACAATCATCTAGGTTTCTTATCTTCCCTATTATCTTAGCATCATCAGCAAACATGTTAATATTATAATTCTGTATTCAATCTGGTAGATCGTTTACGTAGACAATGAACATTACCGGTGCAAGAATTGAACCCTGTGGTCCTCCACTTGTGACATTCCTCCAATCCGACACATTGCCTCTGATTACGGCCCTCATTTTTCTATCGGGAAATTTTTCATCCATGTTAGAAGTTTACCTGTCACCCATCCAGTATGTTCCAGTTTCCAGAACAACCTCTTATGTGGAACTCTGTCAAAAGCCTTTTTTTTAGGTCCAGATAGATGCAGTCACCCCAACCATCTCTTTCCTGTAAAATCTCTGTGGCTCGATCATAGAAACTGAGTAAATTCGTTACACAGGATCTTCCAGATCGAAAACCATACTGTCTGTCTGATATTATATCGTTTTTCTCCAGGTGTTCTACCCATTTAGTTTTAATTATTTTTTCCAATATTTTGACTATTACACTTGTCAATGATACAGGTCTATAATTGAGGGGGGTCTTCCTTGCTGCCACTTTTGTAGATTGGAACTATGTTAGCCTTTTTCCACACATCAGCTACAACTCCTGTACACAGGAATGCCTGAAAAATCAGTTTAAGTGGAATGCTGAGCTCAGGTGCACATTCTCTCAGAACCCATGGTGAAACTCCATCTGGGCCTACTGCTTTGTTCTATCTTAGCTCCTTGAGCATTTTTTCCACTTCATCTCTAGACACCTAGTAGGGGCCTCGTAGCCTGGGTAGGGGCCTCGTAGCCTGGGTAGGGGCCTCGTAGCCTGGGTAGGGGCCTCGTAGCCTGGTGGATAGCGCGCAGGACTCGTAATTCTGTGGCGCGGGTTCGATTCCCGCACGAGGCAGAAACAAATGGGCAAAGTTTCTTTCACCCTGAATGCCCCTGTTACCTAGCAGTAAATAGGTACCTGGGAGTTAGTCAGCTGTCACGGGCTGCTTCCTGGGGGTGGAGGCCTGGTCGAGGACCGGGCAACGGGGACACTAAAGCCCCGAAATCATCTCAAGATAACCTCAAGATAACCTCTATGTGCTCTGAGTTGTTCTCTGGAATTCTTATTATGTCTGGTTCCCTGAAGTTTCATTTTGTACAAGCACACTTTGGAACTTTTCGTTTAATGTTTTACACATTTCCTTTTCACTTTCCGTGAATCCATTTCCCATTTTCAACCTCTGAATATTATCCTTTACCTGCAATTTGCTGTTTATGAATTTATAGAATAGACCTGGTTCTGTTTTACCTTTGTCTGCAATCCCTTTTTCAAAAATTTTCAAATTCTGCCTCTCTCCTCACTGCTGTGTAGTTTCTCGCATCTTTGTATCGCTGGTATGTTTTGGGGTTTGGCCTCTTCCTATATTGATCCCATTTGTGTGTCTTTTGGTATCTGGCCCTCTCGCAATTTCTGTCGAATCAATCCTGTTTCCTAGGTCTGCATCTCTGCTTTGGTATAAATTGTTTGTGCCTATATCATATTTCACAAAACTTGACATATATCTCATTTACTTCATGCCCTAACAGCAAGTCTTTCCAGTCAAATTCCTTAAAGAAATGTCTGAGTTCCCCATAATGACCTCTCCTGAAATCAGGCTTTTCAACTGCTTCAACCTCATTTTCTTCCAGATTATGACGCATTGCATACTTTATTCCCAAAAAGACATGGTCACTTTTACTCAAGGAAGGGAGGTACTGAATGTCAAATATTTCTTCCTCTTTCCTGGTAAATATCAAATCTAGCATGGAATGAACATCTCCTTCCCTCATCCTCGTAGCTTGTTTAACATGTTGAAACATGAATGTTTCCAGGATGAGGTTTACGAATCTACAAGTCTAAAAATCCTCTGTTCTAGCTTCATATGCCTCCCAGTCTATTGATTTCAAGTTTAAGTCGCCGACTACCAACAGTCGTGATCTATTTTTATAACCTCTCACTGATAAGTCTCTCATTATTGTTATAAGACCCTCTCGTTTATTATCCAGCTCCTCCTCTGACCATGTGTTGCATGGTGGTGGACTATATGCATTTATGATCATTAGTTTATCATCCTGATTGCAGATCTCCAGTGCTATTATGTCAACTTCTCGTGGATTGGCAATCATTATTTCATTTACCTTTCGGTGTTCTTTCACCAGCACAGCAATGCCACCACCTTTCCTAATTTTTCTGTCCCGTCTGCAGACAGAGTAGCCCTTGGGAATATGACCTCATTTAAAATATCTTCAAGTTTTGTGTCCGTGAGTGCAACAATGTCTGGCGTCTGCAGCTGTATTACATCACTTAACTCCAGTATCTTTGATCTCACTCCATCTATGTTGGTGTATGCAATTTTCAGGAACATGTTCCCCCCTCTCCTTATTCTTTACTACCCCTCTTTTTCTAGTGATTTTGTTGGTTTGCCTTTTTGTACCATTTTACTGGTCTGCCTACCCCCTATCACTTTGTAGAAAAAATAATTGATTTCTTCATTCCTGCTGTCATTTAGACATTTTGCCTCGACAAGGTTAAGTGTGTGTGTGTGTGTGTGTGTGTAGCTGCCTGTGTTTGTCTCTTCCAATCGAGAATTCCGGGTTCGTATCTCAGGCGGGACAGAAATGGTTGGGCACATTTCCTTTTACTTAATGCCTCTGTTCACCAGCAGTGAGTAGGTATTCAGGAGTTAGTTAGCTTGTTGTGGGGTTGCATCCTGGGCAGGGTCAGTAATTCGAACTTGGGGGTGGGGTGGGGGCAGGGGAGGACATACTCTAATGTACACATTCCAGGCATCTGAGGGCACCACTCAGCGACGCATAAGAATTTTATAATCTTTTTACATTTTCTTAGTTCTGAGCTATGACTATAAATTTGGAGTCAAAATGTTCACAAATGAATTAGTTATGGTCCAGAAAAAAACAAAATGTATTTTGATAATAGATTATGTATGACTACTGAATGTTCTAATGTTTATGAACAGTTTAACATTCCCCATTTAACAAATAAAAAATATTTGGAAATGTGTATATGAGATTGCTTTCTTTTTACAGCGATATAGACCAAACAACTTTCATACTTTTCCAGCGGCTAATTTGCAAAGTATTGTGAAAATACAGTATCCACATGCAGAGCAATTATCGTCTTGAGTGAAAGGACACAGGCCGAGGTGATCTCTGTAGCATATGAAAAGAGCAAATATACACAACGTAAAAGCGAGTGGCGAGGCTGTTAGTGCTGATGAGAAAGGAGTAGCGGAACTTGCTCCAAAATTGGCCAAAATTATTGAAGATGTACAGTGTTCAAGTGTTTTATGTTGATGAAAGTGGCCTGTTTTTGAGAAACAAAAAAATTGACCAAGAAAACACACATTTTCAAGGTAGCAAAACAATGCCTGTTTCCTCCCCTTCTCACCATCTTCCATATGCCAACAAGTCCTCAATAAGGGTAAGGTACATTAAAAAATATGAGTAGTATTCTGTACAAAATGTATTTTTTAATTAATATTGTCGAGTGTGTTGAATGGATTAATTCAGTTTACATTATTTTTTAAGGGAAATTTGTTTGGGTGTATGAATATTCAGTTTACGATCCATCTCTTGGTACAGATTAAATTCGTAGACCAAGGTTCCACTGTACTTAAATTACTGTAATGCCGTAGTTCAGGGGTTAATGCTCATAGTGAAACTTGAATTACAGTACTATCGCATACGAATTTCCACCAGTTCACGTTTTTTCACTAATATCATTGGGCTTTTTGTAGGAATTATTATTCTGTCTAGTTTTTTAATGTGGTACTATACCGAAGGTGTTCACATACATTGCTTCACTTACCTGGTTCTTATAAATTAATAATTTTAAGTTTAATATAAAATAAAAATAATATGAAACCTATTCTCCCTCAGACAATTAAAAAGTCCTAACTGAGGAGAACAGATGCAAGTAAATATGTAGAGTTCAGGGGTGACACTTGAGACAAGACACACATAAAACTAATTATTTGGAATGAATGCAGAACACGTTTAATGAAGATTGGGCAACCTTAAACACAAAATGGAGAGCGCTTTGAATATTACATAAACTTGATGATTTACACGGATTAGAAACAAGTCTGAGTACGGGTTCCATCCACCCCCCCTACCCCCCCGCACCTTCCATGGTACCGTAAATATCAGTATGATAATTGACCACAATTTGTAATGCTAAATTTTTTTTATTTAGGCCTGTATCTGTCACATACATAAACTCACCTCACAGAAGAAGCCAATATTTGTCCTAACTGTTCATCTACATCTTGAAAACCATAGATTAATAAAGGCTTCATAACATAGTTTTATTAAGGACTGCTCATGTATAACAAATTTACACAAAAATTGTTCCCAGTACTGTATATTTCAAGCAGTTAACAGTGAGAAGGATCACAACATTCTATATCTTGACATTAGCAAAGCTATCTCATAAGACACACATTAAAACTTTGGAGGCAATGGTATTTAGGCAGTTTTCTTAAGTAGGATTAGGGCTTGATTATTATAAAAAACAGAGCTGGCATCAATGAAGATACACAGAAATCACACTGATGTGAAATATCAATGCACAAAGCCACAGGAGCCTTCTTGAGATTATCTCGAGATGATTTCGGGGCTTATCATCCCCACGACTTGGTCCTTGACCAGGCTTCCTTTTTTGTTACAAATCCCCAGGAAGCAGCCCGTGGCAGCTATCTTACTTCCAGTTACCTATTTACTGCTAGGTGAACAGGGGCATAAGGGTGAAAGAATCTCTGCCCATTTGTTTCGGCCTCCACCGGGGATCGAACCCGGAACATTAGGACTACGAATCCCGAGCGCCGTTCACTCAGCTCTCGAGCACCCCTTGATGAGGGTTCGAAGCTGTGCGCTGGGTGTTCCCAGATGCACTCTAGTCGACAGCATCACAACATAGTAAAAGAATTGCAGCCTGGGGTACTACTGCACTCATATAGGTAGAACTACTGTTTGACAACTTATCAGTCAGTTGAATGACTGTGTGAGGACAAGCAGGTATGCGAGTACACCAGTGTGTGAGAGGCCAGAGTCCGGGTTGAGAGTGACGGGGCCGAGGCCAGAGTCCGGGTTGAGAGTGACGGGGACGAGGCCAGAGTCCAGGTTGAGAGTGACGGGGACGAGGCCAGAGTCCAGGTTGAGAGTGACGGGGACGAGGCCAGAGTCCGGGTTGAGAGTGACGGGGACGAGGCCAGAGTCCGGGTCGAGAGTGACGGGGACGAGGCCAGAGTCCGGGTCGAGAGTGAAGGGGGCGAGGCCAGAGTCTGGGTTGAGTGTGATGGGGCCGAGGCCAGAATCCAGGTTGAGAGTGACGGGGCCGAGGCCAGAGCCCGGGCTGAGAGTGACGGGGACGAGGCCAGAGTCCGGGCTGAGAGTGACGGGGACGAGGCCAGAGTCCGGGCTGAGAGTGACGGGGACGAGGCCAGAGTCCGGGCTGAGAGTGACGGGGACGAGGCCAGAGTCCGGGCTGAGAGTGACGGGGACGAGGCCAGAGTCCGGGCTGAGAGTGACGGGGACGAGGCCAGAGTCCGGGCTGAGAGTGACGGGGACGAGGCCAGAGTCCGGGCTGAGAGTGACGGGGACGTGGCCAGAGTCCGGGCTGAGAGTGACGGGGACGAGGCCAGAGTCCGGGCTGAGAGTGACGGGGACGAGGCCAGAGTCCGGGCTGAGAGTGACGGGGACGAGGCCAGAGTCCGGGCTGAGAGTGACGGGGACGAGGCCAGAGTCCGGGCTGAGAGTGACGGGGACGAGGCCAGAGTCCGGGCTGAGAGTGACGGGGACGAGGCCAGTGTCCGGGCTGAGAGTGACGGGGACGAGGCCAGAGTCCAGGCTGAGAGTGACGGGGACGAGGCCAGAGTCCAGGCTGAGAGTGACGGGGACGAGGCCAGAGTTCAGGTTGAGAGTGACGGGGACGAGGCCAGACTCCGGGTTGAGAGTGGAGGTTAAGGTGACAGTCAGGTTGAGTGAGAGGAAGGGGGGGGGGGAATGTTTGGAGTGAGAGTATGGGTTAAGACTGGTACGGATTAAGAGAGGGGTCGAGACAAAAGAGGGGTGTTGAGAAAATTTGGCAATTTTCTTTGTAAGTGCAGAACTACCGAGACTACATCTCCTGAGACTTCATCCATTGGAACAGTTTCGTCTCCCCATTCCAGTGGATGGTGAGATAACACCAAAAATAAGACAAATAATTTTGCTATATTACTTTAAGAGACCAGCACCACTATATAACAACAAACTTAGTGTGTCACAATCACTTTATACAAATTCATCATCAAGCATTACAGTTCAGATACATGTATTTTATATAAAAAATCAAACTACCTCAAACTAAGAGGACAGAACTTTGACGATATACACATGACAATTTGAATATACTGTACCTGGCATGTAGTAATATCCATTGCCAGCTTGAAACAAGAGAGGAACGGTATAAGATCCACGTTCCTCCATCAAGAGTTCTTCAGCTTGAGTGGTATTTCCCACGAGTGCATATATCAGTGCAACAATATATATGACAATATAATCCAGTGAAGCAACTACTGTATGTTACATTTGTTTCTTGTTTAGATGCTTCATCACAGTTCTCATAAGAGTTATCCAAGAAGACAGCCTCTCGAATGTTTATGGCCATCAGGTCGAGTCTTTGCGTAATTACCCCTCCTAAACTTACCAATCTCTGGACCATAAGCAGTAATCTGGTTGAGCCCAGTCATAGTGGCAGTATATGGAAGGGGCCGAAGGGTTTTCTCAAGATTGGGCGCAGACTTACTCCATCGTTTTTGGTTGTCGGTATGTTGAGGAATGATCTGGCCCCGCTCCTTCTGGTGTGCTGTGCTGGGTCCCCACGTCTTGCCCTTCACACCATCGGCTGGTACTGTAAGTCCAATGTTTCCTACTTTAGTCATACTCAAACTAAAATATAAAATTACCAGCTAAATACAGAAACCATCCAATAATAAGCCTTAGTACTCCCTCAAAATACTAAACTTAGAATGATCACAAACAATATATTTCCACTGATGTAATTAAATGTTTATTTTAAATGTAAATATACTATATATCAGAACTTTACTAGACCAAATGAAAGAATTTTATTGGAACATCATAAAAACATACTTAAATAAATAAGATTTTCAATTTAAATTTAGTGTCCACTGTATTACTCACATTACTCACTATACCAAGGCAAGCAACACCCTTTTAAAATATATTTCTCGCCTATTGTACAAAGATCTGAAAGAACTCTAGAAAAAAACTGACAAACAACAAAGACGACTATCAATATATATATATATGGCAATATATAGATATACAGTAATAGAAAAAATCATGAACTGTACAGTATTTGCTACACTAACAAAACCTTGTGTGTATTATTGATACAACACTTAAGTCCAAATTCCACAACAATGAGCATTCACCACATGCAGTGCATCTAGGGCATACACATCAATAACAAATTTCTACAAAATTACACTCATAAAAATACAGTACAACATATACATAATAGGGTCACATTCCTAAAAATAAACCAATAAACAATTATTTAGAAAAAATAATATATTAAAAGAACCAAAACTAGGCAATTTGGGCCTAAGCCTTGACTAAGATGAGTCATTAACCATTTCTGAACTCATCGTCAGTGAGCACTGTGCAACGTAGCTCAAGACAAAACATTGTCCTGAAGCATTTATGTCTTTACGAATGCATCATTACAAAATCAAATACTTCAAAGCAGCAAAGCGTAATAGCTTGCAGAACCAAAGGTCTGTGTTTCAACTGAGAAGCTTGTAAATGTGAACCCATTGGCAGTGAAAGCAAACTGATAGCAACATCATTCCTCGCTACTGCACACACACACACAGCAAGACTGTGCTGTAGCTTGAGGTTGAGGTGTATACTAGCTGTTGCATAGCCATCTCGGTCTTACAAAGTCAACAAACCTTTAGTAGCTCCCAGGACTTTGATGTAAAATGCTCTATCTGTATGAACAGGTTGCATCATTTCTAGAGTTTGTCATGCATAGTCATACCATTTCTCAGTAAAATTTCATATATTGTATTCAACTCATTCAAGAGCAATTCATGTACTAGACTATAAAAGGCATAATGTGCTCCTTTGAGAGCAACTGCTCGTATCTCTCCTAAACCGAGCAAATTTCCGAGGTAATTATACTGTAAAAAAAATATAAAAAAAATATCCTGGATAACGTTATTTTCCAAGTGCTTATGCCTCCAAAGTACAGTATAGAAAATTGTATCACTTCCCCAAATTTTACTGTGATCTTCGCCTACGACAGCTTAGGGAAGATGTCCTAAAGGTACCTGAAGGCTGCAGACTTGAGAAACGAAGCGTTATAGCTCTAAGATAATGTTTCGGAAGTCATCAGCTATCTTCAAGCTGTTTTCACTAAACTCTCTTAGGCAAAAATCACAGCAAAGTTTAAGGGAAAATAATCGTCTATTTTAGAGGCATAAGCAATCAGAAAATAATACTTACTACCTAAGAACAAAATCTGTGTTATATTGTGTTCTCAAAAGGTCCCTGGCCTGGAAAGCTATTTAGCACCCCTCAGTGGCACAAAACAGTCAACACGTCCTAGATATCAAGATATACCCATTAATGTGAGCAGGCCTTTATGAGAGTAGTTTGTAAGAAATGTCACTATTCCCACATGTGCATTAAACCCGAAACTCTTAACCCCCCTCACTCTCTTTCTGTTTTTAGTTACTCTGGGCCATAGAGGAGTGTCATGCCTCACTCTCTTATCAATTAAATATTATTATCAAGTCATCTTTTATGAAAAAGAAGTGAATCATATGAAAAGAGTTGACTATGCTGTGCCAACACGTCATTAAGAACTCTTTCTATTTGGCAAACTACGTCTCATAACCCAACTACTGAACTTGTATGTAAACAAACAAATCCACAAGGGCCATGATGAGGGTTCGAACCTACGCACAGGATGTTCCCAGATGCGCTTTATATATCCTTATATATGCGCTTTGATGACACTAAAATGCACCATCTGTACTTCAACAGTAAATGTACCAATGACTAAATCTCATTCTCTGTCTCCAGACTCCTGAAAATTCCTGATAATTCCTTTTTTTTTTTTTTTGAGGGGGAGGAGCACAGTGTGGGCATAGCTTATCAGAGGATCCCACTAGAGTACCAGAGGGATCCAACTAGAGTACCAGGGGGGATCCAACTAGAGTACCAGAGGACTATCCAGAGATCATCTGAGCCAATCACTTATCACCCAATATGATATTCCTCTGCCTGTGAATATTTTCACTTATTTTTACTTATGTTAAAAATAAATGATCAATATTTAAAAATATTTGAGGAATGTTGAAATGTTCATAAACATTTGTATAACCAGCACGGTCATGCATAAACTATTATGCATCCATACTCTAGCAAATTCATTAGTGAACATCTTGACACCAAATTTATAATAGTTACAGGTATAACCCAAAAACTAACTGAGCAAACGTAGAAAAAGAAAAAAAAAAAGTATAAACATTTTAGGCGTCGCTATGTGTGACCTTGAGATGCCCGGAATATTTGAGGTCGGGTATGCGCAAATGGGTCGGACCGTTAAAGTGTTAAGTGTTTACATTCACCAATAAAGCTGTGAACTTAACATGCTGTCAGAAGAGCTGCTGCAAGTACACATGTAGGCTGATGTATATATTACAGTTTAAATCATCACCAACATTTGTGGTATCAAATCAATGTATACCAATCATCAAGGCACTCATGCATGACTATTATTCATAGTTTATAGCTTCAATACCTCATGAATTTGGATGATAATGAAGTACAGTGCTAGCTATCTAGTTCCCATATTTAATAGATAAAACATGTCCTGTTGCCTAACACTAACTTTCAAGTCTCTTATATAGGGACAAAAACTATAGCACACAAAATATTCCGAGACAAGACGAGATTTATCCGAGGATTTATCCACGAGATTTATCCGAGGTGGATAAATAATAATCTGACAAATCATTAATCTCATAATTAATCTCATAAGAAATTCGTTTGGCCTTGATTTAATCACGCATAAATGTAGCGAGCGAGATGCACCCCAGTCCGCACTACACTGCTGTTCTGTAATACCTCAGTACGTTGTCCCAACAAATATTTTTCTTGTCTTTTCTTATTTTTCCAACATGCAACTTATGATTTTTTTATGGCTTTGATTAAAGTTATATCTTGTGCATTTTCTAAATATAAACAGATTATGTTCTTGACATTTTATGTCTAATACAAACTCAAGCACTGCTCTATAAAACAGTCCAAAATATTTTATCATTACTCTTATGGGATATGCCAACAACAAAATGCAAATAGAAATGATTAATGCTTGTAGAAATATTATAAGACCAGTGTTCCATAGGCTGTAACATAGTCATACAAGAAAATGAAATAAGCTAAGAGGTAGCATGCAGACATGAGTAACCAAGTAACTATGGAACAACTGGGCCTACACTTACTTTGATATTCTAAAATATTACAAAGTATGCTAGGAGGGCATGGCAGGCTTTCTAGTGAGCATACTAAAAGGGAAAAGAAAACGAGCATTAGAGTTCGTGCAGACATAAACTCTCGTAAAGGGGGGCAATGCAGTAACTTCTCCGTGACCACTAAGCTGGTAGGGAGGGAGGGCACTATACACTCCGGTAATTAACCTCTCATCTTTACATTGCTCATATTGCTAACTCTCATTCAACAGCAATCTTTCCACCCTAGAATAATAAACATTTGTTTATGATGAATGTACATATCAATAAGGGCAGTGAAAATGAACAAAACAAGGTATGGATATAAAACTTAAAATGCACACTAACTATTATTTACACACCAAAGCATTTATCAAACAACTTCTTTACATTCAATTTTCACTTCTCTACCTTCGTTAAAAAAAATTAAATGTTGAATATCGTGGAATTAGCTACTTGTAAGTAATTATCAAAAGAAGTCACCAAGCCTGGGAGATCATTGTAAGCAAGTGTAGTTAGAGGACAAGAGCTATGCTTATGGTGTCCCCTCTTCCCTATACGGTAATTATTGTCATGAAGTTTTGAAGCATCTAATGTGGTGTCATGCACTATTCTTAATTTATTCCGTCCGTCTGCCACTGTTGGCAAGAGAAATTTCATGCATTTTTTGGCACCCATTTTGTATTTTTAATCAATTATCTCTTTCTTGATGTGGCAGACTACAAAATTCTTCCTGATAAATGTCAATTTCAGCCATGATTTTGTATGTGGTAATCATATTACCCCTTTACCAAGCCAAAATCCCACTACTGCTTCATTGAGCCAGGAGCTATTGGGACCATTTGTAACAATATACAGTACTTGTACTACACCGTGACCTCCCTCCCAAGCGTGATGAGGAGCTGACGTTGTTGTCTTAATCAGGAATCAAGGTTGAATAAGGTTAACAATGGCAAGTTAAGCTCCAGCCATCACCAGGGGACCAGTCCACTATAAGATAGCAAGTAGCAATACCTATAATAGTTCTTGTAAAAACAAGTTAGCATCAAAGGAACCCTAATTAGGATTCTGGAATGGTCATAACCGAATGAGCTACTTGCAACTATCACTTAACACCCAATATGTTATGGAGGCAGCGAGGAACTGGCCCCCCCTCCTCACTTTCTGACTTACAAAACCACCGACACTACCTGCTCTGCCAGAAAAGATTTTTTACTAGTTTATCCGTCGAGGCAGTTGCAACGCAATTGATTACTAAAGTGCTAAAATGAGAGTTCATTTCATGGCATGTACAACCACTTTTTTTGTACCATTGATAATAGTTTGCCACTACAACTGTGTATCAGGGTTGCCTTTCTTCACT